AAGTACACTGGTTTCTGGCTCAGTGGCGTTGCTGCGCGGAAAAACATCTGCAGGCAGCGGGAGATTTTACAGTCTGAAAATATGGGGGAGGAAGACAGGAAATGTGTCTCTCCCATGGGGCCGTGTGACATTAACTAGAGGCAGATCTTTCGGGGACGGGCAAACCCACGTGCGCACGCACACACAGCCTCTGTGAACAAGGCCTGGAAGGTCAGGACACGAATACGGGAGAAGAGAGCTCTGTCATTCCCAGCGAAGACTAAAGACACATGTTGCAGTTTCTGTGGTTTAGCAGCTGGAATGGATTCAGGGGGAAAAGGCGCTGAATTCTTGCCGGATTTCTCCAGGCGACCACAAGACCTTATCAGAAAGTGGTCGCGCATAGAGTCAACCTGTGTGCTTTGTTGTGGTAGAGAATGCATCCAAAGAAGAAGAAGAAGAAGAAGAAGAAATTACTACAATATGTGCAAAATGAAGAATGAAAGATTGAGATTATTGGCCTCATGGCTGTTGGATCTCTTCGGATCTGTTTCCATCACGGAAAACTTTGGGACGGGAAACGTTTATCTGCCATGCTTCATGTTTCGTTTATGACGAGTCCCCAAGTGGGAGATTGATGTGAATGCTTGCGATAGCAGAGACAGCTACTGCATCTCGCAGTGTATGGAGGAGGATCTGTAATATGAGCGAGGGACGTAGGGGATGTGAGGGAGGGAGGCAGGAAGGGAGGGAGAAATTGAGGAGCCTTGCTGAATTATGCAGTTTCAATTTTACCCATTTAGGGAGGATAGATCAATTCCTCATGCTAAAACCATTAACCCTTAGGATGGGCGGCGTTGCCGTGGCAACACAAATGATGTCTGCTGATCGGAAGCACCTGTTTTCAAGGCCGCAGACACTCACATTGCTAACATTGCACAGGCGCCCATGCCGACAATTCAATTTAACAGATATATCTGCCTGTGTGTGTGTGTGTGTGTGTGTGTGTCTTTTTGTAGAATTCAATTGCATTGTCTCTTTTAAAGCTGGGTGCCTCTTGCACTGCAGCCTGTGGGTAGCAGTATTTCATCATCAAACCTCCCTGGGGGGCGTGTGTGTGTGTGTTTGTGTGTGTGCGCATGTGTGTCACTATCACTATGTGTGCTTTCCCTCCTGGGCGTCCTTAGGCACTTCGCTCAGAGTCCTCCCCTCTCTCCACTGCATTCTGTTTCCTTTTGGTTGCATTATGGTTTTTGCACATCTTGATGAGCCCCCAACCCCTCCACCCCCGCCCACTTTCTCGCTTTTTCTTCCGGCCTCCCCTCTCTCTTGGCAGCAGTCCCCTATCCTTCTTCTCCCCTCCCCCATTCCTCCCGCCCCCATCCTCCAAATGGCCCTCTGGTCAGGACACAAGGTGGTTAGTGGTGTGGTTATTTATCATTTGGCGCATCCATGTTTTTTCTCAGGATGACCAAAGGAGATCGAGCTGAAAGTCCTTGGTGCATTCAGTTTGAATGTATTTATTCATGTATGGAGATTCAAAGTGAAGAAACTGTTATTCTATTTTAATGGGTTCTATTCCAAATGTCAGACTGTTTCCTATTATTGGAGAAAACAACAATGCAGAGACCCTGCAGGGTTCAGTGTTGCTGTTAGTGTGCAAATGGCTGTTGGTGTCGGCTTAGACCTCCTTAGGTATCATTTATTAATACTTAATATGCATTGTGTGTATGCATGTATTCATCCCCCAGAACATAAGCAGGGCTTTTCAATAGAAGGCTTTTTGTAACAATCCTGCTTCATTTTCCAAAAATGGGGCACAAAAAGGAGTCCCTGCAGACGAAGCAACTATTCTCCTTCAGTTTGGAACTCCTATATAACGCTGCTTCGAGCAGTGCTCCACAGCAGCACGACTGCTTATAGAAGACTTCTCCCCTCAAAGCTGGATTATTTATTATTGTGGAAATGCCTCTGGCTCTCCTCTGAGAAGCTTCCTGGGGCTCATTTCTCCGCAGCCTCCCAGCTGTAAACCTTCCCCATATGTGTGTGCACCCAGAGGACCCTGCAGAGAGACGCATCACGCAGCCACACAGGCAACCCGGGAAAGTCGAGCATCGTTGTGCCGGTGGATGTTAATTCTCTATTTTGTCGCTGCCTGTCGCTACAGCTTGTACGACAGAAGAAAGTCACACACACACACATGGGTCTGCCTCCCTTGTACACTTCAATGTGAGGTAGAGTTTCTGGCCGTAGCTGCAAGGCCCAGATTGGATTCCTTGCCTCCTTGGCTGTAGTTTATTGCGGGGAAGGTTATGCCTTGATGGGGCTTGTGGTTATTCTCTGGGCTGTGTGTGTGTGTGCGTGCGTGTGTGTACAGCTGGATGAGGGTAGAATTTGTATTTCTGCCTTTAATTCCCAAAACGCATTCTTTTTCAAATGGCTTTTCCAGGCGCTTATTTTCTATGGCATGAAACAGAAGACAGCCACACCAATTGTCTCTCTTCCAAGACTCCTGTTTTCTTTCATCGAAGCCTGAAAGCGCGGGAGAAAAGGGAGAGATGGCACAAGAGAGCACAGTGGGAGACCTTGGCGCTGGGTGTAACGTCACATGGCGCTGGCCTGAGAGGAGTTTTCCACAGTGGAAAAAAAAAAGATACTCGGGGGGTTTATGTGTGCTGCTTGTCAAGTGTTAAGGAATTAAGGATGTCCTCGGAGGGGAATATGGATGGTTTACTTCACACATATCTTCTGCTCAGCAGGGAAATATGTCAGTAATGTGATTCAGAGCTGCATCTGTATTTGTACTTTACTGGTTCTTCATGGCATTAGATTTAAGATGGACTTTTCTTTTAAATGTGGCATTGTAGAGGTGATAGATACATCGGTGGTGTAGAACCCCTTCACGGATGCAGGGAGAAGAGTTGCTCCCTTTTCGGTGGTTACTGCCAAGTCTCAACATCTTGATTGGGTGACACAGAAGGTTCACTGTGACCTTAAAAAGGCATCTTGACAAAGGCGTCTCAACACCAGGTCCAACTTGTTCTCAGACACATCTCTCGGCCTTCGTCAGCGTAGGAAGTTACTCAGTTGTCACGGAGATTGTCTCTATCCGAGACTCGGCACAGTTACCTGTTGACAACTGAACCATCGCCATGACAACAAAGGGGCACCCTTGAGTATTTTTCAACCTCAGCTCCAGCATCTCCACGAACACCTTTTTCACATCCAGTACAAGTCCGGCTGAGATAAAATCGATGACATAAAAACACACGTACTACCACGGAATGCATTGCATTCAAAATCTTGTTTTTCTCCTTAGCGCTGATTGGAAGAGGAGATTGTTGCCATGGAGACACAGTGCGGCACAATTATTCTGTGCCAGCGGAGACCCGCGAGCGAGCCGGAGCACGGTGGCAGATAGTGACACCTGGACACGAGCCTCTGGGACCAGGAAACCATCAGTTAGTCAGCGATTAGCAACCTGACGACATTCTTACCAAACTGTGGACTCAACATGGGGGGGGGTCAGGGTCAAAGTGTACTAATCGGCCTGAACGGTGTAGCGTTGAAGATACAGAGGACACGGCAGCTTGCGGAGGGCGCGTGTACTGTATACGCGTGTCCATGTTTAACAGTGTGAAGAACACCGTCAATACCGTGTGTTACATGATACACTTCAGAGATGAAGTCATGGTTATTATCCTCTCAGTTTAATGGACACCAGAGTCAATACATGTCAGTGTGTGTATGTCTGTGTGTGTGTGTGTGTGTGTGTGTGTGTGTGTGTGTGTGTGTGTGTGTGTGTGTGTGTGTGTGTGTGTCTGTGAGTCTGAGAGCTCGCTGGTAGCCTATTGTCCAATATGTAACTGATATGAGTATTAAAAACCACAAACATGCTCACAAGTCCCTCACCGCTCTCCCACATTTATGCATCAAAAACACACACACACACACACACACACACACACACCACCACCAGCTAAGGATAAAATTGGGCCTCCACCTAAGCAGTAATCCCCCCGCTTCTCATCTTTATCTTCTCTCTCCCAGGCGCGTCCGTCCTGACTAATCATCCGAGGTGTCAAGGTGAGCTTGTGTTTGCCTGCCGTCAGCCACTCACGCTCCTCAGCAACACGAGCCGCGGCGTATTAAAAACAGGAATTCCTCTGTGTCCTTCTGAGGAACAAGTTTACAATGCGGCTTACCTGCGGCACCTTCTGATTCGCCACGAAACTCGCTGCAAGAATCCGAGGAGGCTTTCACAACTCCCGCAGTCGCATTAGCATAAGCAGAGGAACACAATGGAGTTTTTCACCCCAGGCAATAAATACACATGTTTTACATACGCGCACACGCGCACACAATATTCTCATCGCTCCAGACGGGGTTTTGACTCACGCACACGCCCTGAAAAGAGAGGTTGTCATGACTTGTCACCGTCTCCCGGCCCTGGTTGTCTGCTGGTTGAAAGGAGAAGGCCATGCGATCGAGGCCAGATAGGTGGACGCTGACTTCCTCTCACTGTCTCTCTCTCTCCGATCATCATGCTCAACATTGTCCACCACACGTCGGTTTGTTTGCAGAGTTTTCCCTAAGACTCCGCATCGGTGCCTCTCGCCTCCGCCGAGCTCGCGTATATGCTGCGTGCGCAGAGCCCAGAATGCCGGTGGTCGCGGAGGCTCTGGTGTGAGGGCCACACACTGCAGCACACCGCACTGCAGCGTGCGGCCCTGCTCCGTGCTGCCGCCTGCTGGCCATGCCGGCTCACTGCGTGCAGTTTGTTAGGTGCAGTTTGCTTGATTATGTTGTTCAGTAAATTGTTTGCTGTGCTCAACCAGCAATAATCACGTAGAGTTGGTCCACTACATATTTATTCTCACAAAATATAATGAGGATTTTCCTCCCGATTCATTTGCTGAAAGCTCTCTCTAAAGAGGAAATAATTGATCATACATTTTTCAAATAACTGGAACAACAATGTCCTGAATGTGTCGGCCATTATCTTCCCCGCGTTTCCTCAGGCGGTACCTGTCCGATGTCCTCTGCCACCACAGTGTGATGCGCCATGGCTCCGGTGCTGAGAGGAGTGTGGTGGGGGTCCGAGGCCGGTGTCGTCGGATCCGGGGCGGGAGCTGCTGCCGGCGTGGCGTCGTGGCCGGGCGGCGGGCAAGTGGTCCTGGTCATCGCCCTCAGCACCCTCACCGCCCTGCTGCTGGTCTCTGTGCTGCTGCTGCTGTGCGCCAGCTGCCAGGGGTGAGCACCATCTCTAATACGACCAAGGGAAAACACACAGAGCCATTTCATCCATCAGGGTCAACATTGCTTGAAGTAGAAGAAGAATCCATTAGACACACTGTGATACCAACTCTCTAGGCAAATTACATTTAGTCCAAAAAAATAGCTTCATTTTCTTTTAGATTCAAGATTTTAACTATAACGCTGATAAATACTACAATATAAGGGCCGCCTGGTGTTATCTATATTTTCTAGTTTTCCACCATTCAAACCTCTCATCTCTCCATTCCTATTCGTCTCCAGGCAGAAGAAGGCCGTCAATGGACATCCTGTAGGAGACCATGAGAACCTCATGAACGGAGTGAGTTTCAATTCAGCTCTTAGCCTGCAATAGTATGTGTGAACTGTAGATGTTAAAGAAATTGTTTTACGTCTTGATAAATATGCAGGTTCTCGGTCTCAACGAGCTACATGCAGCTCTGCACTGAGCAGCAGCTTAGCTTAGCATAAAGACTGCCAATGCCATCGGACTATTTCTCGCCCTGAAGTTAATCCTTGAAAGGAAATAGTATTTTAGAGGATGTTTTTAGAGGGCCGTCCCTGAGGATTCACTTTCTAGAACGGTGGTTATGTTTAAAGCTTTGCTTCTTTGGTTTTTGATTGTATTTTGGTTTGAGGGGAACGTCTGTGTGTTTTTAGTCATTTTAACAGAAATTTTATTGCATATGTGTGAACACTCAACTCAACAATAACACACACACGTTTGCTAAACCTACACAGTCTCGCACACGTATGCAGACAAACCTGCCCCGTTTTTTTTTTTTTGTTAATTAGGTCGGCGTTCAATATCAGTTTTGGCTTCAAATGCGAGATGAGATAGAGCTCCCACATCGGCTGCCCGCCCAAATAACACATGTATATCCCATGACGAACACACACACACTAACAAAAACACAAAAAGCAAAGCCTCCCTACACTCAGCTGATAGACAGCCTCCAGTTGTTGGTGGGATTGTTTCTCAATGACGAGGAAGTGGGCACACGTGGGACAGTCCACTGACTGCCACTTTCACATCATGTCATTACAGTATTGCATTTCTTTTGCATTAGTCAACGAAAGGTAGATATTTTAGTTCCCCGTTGACCTTTCTCTGCGTGCACTGCTCATAGTGACACCATGTCCTCTGGAACGTGGTGTTATGGTTATTACCAACTCCCACGATGCGGACGCTCCAGTGACCAAGCAACGTGTCGGTGTGACAAATGACTGGCTTTCACAGGCTATGTAACATCCACTTACTCTCGCTGTCACTCCCTCTGGGGCTGTGTGTGCGTGCGTTGCCTTACATGCTACCGTGTGCACATTCAGATTCCTCAGGGCCGTTTTGTGTCTGATAGCCATCTTCCCTCTAACCCATTTAGATGACGGACCTCCTGGCGGCCTGTTAAACGGGGTTCTTTGTCTTTGCGAACGAGGGGAATCTGCTCTCCTTGCTCACCCACAAATCCTGTCTGACTGTCTTCCCTTTGTGAAGGCGCTTGTTCCCTTTTATTCCCTCAGAGGTTAAAATATGTTGCCTAATTGTTTGAATGTCATACAGCATTGATCTAGACTCATCAATAAACGCCGCAAGGACAGTGTGAAGCTGTGGCGACTCGAAGAGACGGAAAAGAATAACTTCCTGTTTTATTCTCTTAACCACTTCCTGTCTTTGTTTAGTTTAAAGCCCCTTTTCCCTCCACAGCTGAGTTCAGGTTACAATCACCCCGCCTGTATTGAATCACCCATTCATCCATTCATCCATGTCAGGTTATCTATTGTCCCACCCCGAGTTGGACCTTTCAAGCCACTGTTCCCAATGTTTGTTTTATGGTCTTTTTTTATTGCGAGACCATTTCTGTCTGCCTCTTGTGCTCGTGCTACATTTTGGTCCGTTTTGCAGAGTTGACATTTTGGCAGTAAAGATCCTGAGCTTGGAAAGAAGTTATTTTGTTGTTTTGTTACTCTGCGCCCGAGTCTCAGTTCTGATCCCTTACAGAAGCATTTTGGATCCCCATTAAGTTTGCAAAATGCTTCGGGAATCGGAAATTATGTGAGTTTAAAAAGCACTCGATCATGTGGCCCCTGATCAGGATCTGGATGCGTAACATAATGAGAGAAGAAAGATTGACTGGAAACACTTATGTCACAAAATAGTTAAAAGATGACATCATGGACCCCAGTAGTTATGAGAGTAATCGGCCGCTAGGGGGAGATGTGGAGCTTCTAAAACTCAACCTCCTGCTTGCACAGAAAGAAAACAACAAACCTGAACAAAGAGAATCCTGACTTGATGCAGTAGTTTACATGTTTTCTGCAGTGTTCTTCCCTCTCTTAGCAGGGAGTGATGGAGCGAGATCTGTTACTTCGGATACGAGGCGGTTTATCTCTAAAGTGTGTGTTGATGAATCGATTTGATCGTGCCCAGCACTAATAGCGAGGATCCATGTGGTTTCTTTTTAGGTTGCTGGCGAAGCCGATTTAGCTTCTGACTTGAGACGTAGCAGTAAAACAGCCCTTAACGTGTTTCAATGGTTCAAACGTAAGAAATATGTTGTTGTCGTTCAGCACCACTGGATCCATGCCGGTTATTCCCCACAGTGTTCTGTGCCTTTGCCCTTTTTTCATAGAGGAAGGGAAAGTAAAATACAGAAATGTCCCTGTGGACAACCACCGTTTTATTTTCTCTGGCATTTTCACTTCTATTGCCAGTCAATTTACCCTAAGTTTTACTGTGCTTATAATCCTGAATGGGTTTCAATATCTCTTGAAAACAAACAAAATTGAAGTGACTCTGTAATAATGCAATCTTTTTTGGGCCGCTTCTTCAATTACTGTAGAGTACAATGTGAATCAGCAGTATTATGTCTTCATCAGGCAGATCGGTTTCTTTGCTCTAGATAACGTTAGCTCACTCTAGATGTCTTTTGTTGGTGGGTAAAAATACTCCACTAATAATTAATCATTAGCATAGTTATAATGAACTGAAAGTACTCAGCAATGTGATTGTGAAATCTAAGAAAAACTCTGATAAAAAAACAAGGAAGTGGCTCATCATGACATGACAGTTCCCCAAAATCCTGATAACTTCTGAATACACGAAAGTGTAAAAGTGTATTTTGGTTCCTCAGAGAAATAATCAAAATAACCTCTTATCACTGCATGTTATGTCAGAGTTGATCTGATGAACATCTCCTCTTTTTGTTGTGCAGGTATCAGAGACGGTCAGCCAATCAGCAGACAGTCTAGCAACGGACGTGGCCATCAGCAGCTCTCATAACGGTCCTCTAACCAGCGGTACAAGTAAGCCGAGAGAGATAGCTCTAACCGAGCATGTCATATCCTACTAGTCTAGTTTGTCATCTATTTTAACGAGTAACAGAAAACTAAATAGTAATTAATCTATTCTGCAGTGTTAAAGAGACTTTCTTAGATTTCTTCTGTCTGTTCTTCCCCCCCTCTGCTCTACCAGTCCTCACCGACACACAGGACACCAGTCCCCAGCCGTCAGAGGACATGCTCTCCAGCCAATCAGAGCTCCGGTCCTCCAAGTGTCCCCAGGACCGCGAGCTCCCGAGCATTCCCCCCAACAACGGCCTGATTGGGGACGGACCCCAAGCCTCGGGGGACAGCACCTATGAGGTTGATGTTTAAAGTCACCTTAGCAACAATCGTGGTTTTACTTTCCCTGAGCTCAGGAGTAGTGATTAGTTGGCAGTTTGTTTGCTTGATCGATGAAGCTAAAGTTCAATGTATTAACTAATTAATATTTTTTCCGTGAGATGTTGATGTATTTATTCTATTTACAGTTCAATAAAAGAGGAGCACTAACCTTGTTTTTGGTGTACGAGAATGTTAAGGAGCCAGTGCGTGTGTCTGTGTGTCATCAAGGTGGTGAAGGAGATCGCCGCGGCGTCCCGTGACGTCAGCGTGGAGGACTCCCTGTACGACACGGTCAAGGAGCTCAAAGACCCCCCCGCTCAGCTCGGCCTCCCCAACGGTACCATCGAGCTGAGCCCCGATGAACCTCCCCACCACCCCGCCGCCCTTCTCAACGGACACCTCAGCCCCTGCACCCCTGAGCGGGGGCCCCTGTGCGCCGGGGTGGAGTACGCCTCCGTCGACCTGAACAAGAAGAGTCGCCACAGCGCCGACATGGAGGCCAGAAGGCGCTCGGAGAACGCCGGCGTTCTCTCCGGCGAACCTGTGGACGAACCAGAGGAGGACCTCCCTCCGCCGGTACCAGAGAAGGTTCTGGATGAAAACGACAACCAGCCAGGAGTGATGAACACACACACACAGCTGGCTGAGGCTGGGCTGCACAATGGAGAGGTGAGAACGCTGCGTGTGTGTGCGTGTGTGTGTGTGTGTGTGTGGGTGTGTGCGTGTGCGTGTGCATGTGTGACTTTTACAGGACCAAATAAGGGATTTAGATTGACGATACTGTTCTTTTCAATTCTGCCATCTGACCAACTCATTCTTGAGAAAAAGGTCAGACGGTAATAGTAATGTAGTTATCCTGTTCCTTTTTACGCATGTAAAAGATCATTTTAGCAAGACAAAAAAAAACGCCCGAGATTTGCCATCGGCACAATGATCATCTGCTAAACTGCATGCGAGAAGACCTGAATGTCCCCCCCCAGGCATGGAGGGTGAGAGAGACATTGAGTCGGGAGGCAGTGAGATAGAGGAAGAAAGCAAGAAGAAGGAGAAAAAGGAACCCAGCGGCACACAGAGGCGTCATGAACGGAGCCCTCCACACCAACACACCCTCTCTGTCAATCTGCCACTAAGCTGCATGTGGCAGATTCTCTTCCCGTCATAAGATCTGCACGTATTCTTCTCCTGCTCCCGCTGGGTTGCGTTCCCTCTCCCCTCAATGGAAGGGTCATTATTATGGTTCGTGTAGCGGCGGGGGCCGTGAGGGTTGCTCTGCCAGTCACCCCCCCTTTTTGTTTTTTGGACTGAAGTACCTCCATGATCATCGGATGGAGCGCTGTACAGTTTGCTGTAGGCAGCAATGGCGCGCAGAGCATGAATCTTGATGATTTTTATAAATCCCCTGTCTATTCCTTCAGTTTAAGTTGGATTTGTTTATCGGTATGTGGAGCCTCACTTAACTGCCAGCCTCAAAGTCTACGCACTGGCCTCCTACTTCAACTTTGACCTGCTGTCCCGGGCCGTCGTTGTGCAACGAGGATTTAGCAGCAACAGTTCAGATGGTGCTTTCATTTCTTCAGATAAAGAGGCTTGGATTATCTGCTTGATGAATTGTTTACAACCGGTTCTTCTTTCTTTATTCCGTTTGACTTACCACAACTGATAAAAATGAATTGCAGTAAACCAGAACTGTCTCTTGAGATATTTGGAATATCTGCTGCTCAATCGGATCATCTGATCTGTGCCGAATCTGTGATCTGACGTAGTGAGCTGTCGCATATGTATAAAAAATGTATTAATAGATGCGTGTGTGTGTGTGTGTGTGTGTGTGTGTGTGTCTGAGACTAGTGAGCGCCAGCTGGCCACTATAACTATGACAGTCTGGCTTCATGATGGATCACATGGGCCATAGATACTCCCGCTCTGTCTCTGTCACACACACACACAGACACACACCAGGAAAGGCCAGGGTGCCTTGCATGTAAATGTCTGAGAGGAATCCCCTCGGGTAGCAGCTCCGTGAGTGCTGCTCATGCACACAGAGGCGGGCTGTCTCATAAACGCACATTTTCCCTCACATGAGCCAACATTTGCTGCAGAAACGAACCCACACACACACACACTGACTTGTGATCTTTCATTTACAGCCTTTGTGATCCCGCGTTCACACTTGTTTTGCAGCAGCGTGCGTGTATGCGTGTCGCCTGGGGGCTTTCCATGTGAGGTGCAGGAAATTCATTTGACCCAGTCGCTGGGCTGCAGGGACGCGGTCCAGGTAAACTGCCACAGTCTGCAGCATTGAAGTGCCTGTCGCTAAAGGGAAACGCTATTGTTGGATAGAGGATTTCGAGGATGTAACAGGTGTGTGTTGGTGTGCTGTAGGTCATAATGGGAGTTGCTGTTGAACGAGCCAAACGCGAATGTGAGATAATCTTTGTTGATGTACTCTTTCTAATTTGTACATGTGTGTCAACGTGTGCGTCAACATGATTGACACCCGTGTCGTACATCTTCTGAGGCCGCTGTAATCAGCTTACTGTCATTCTCGCGTGTCCTGTGTGTCATTGTGTCTTCATACGTACACATACACACATTCGCCTGATCCTCTTTTATTTCAAATAAACACACACGTCAAAATATGAATCAATCAGATGGCTCAATGTATGTGTGACAACAAACCACACATCCACGCACCCATACACATGAACATGAAGCAATAGTATTCATTCAGGCTTTTTGAAAAAAATGGCAAACGTGCGCGCAAGAAGATACTGCGACACATGGCTGAAGCGGACGCTTCGACGGATGATCTCTGTGTTCTACCTTCAGCTTGTGTAAGCGAGCGCCCATGACAACCGCCTAGTGCTCTGCCTGGTGGACAGCTTTGCTTTCCTCTCAAGCACGTTAGCATTAACCTTGGTAGATCTGACACTCGGCCAATCAGAATTTGTTCCTTTCACTGAGTCACAAAAAAAAAAGGATTTTGTCTTCGAAAGGTGTGTAACAAAAGTCCTGGAGTTATTTCGTCGGTATTGAGGTTCTCGTTAGACTCCCGAGCTGTTTGCTGCGTTGTTGTCGGTTGATAAATGGCTCCCTCATCGACCACAGAGCAAAGTGGACAAACATCACACACTCTGTCACTGAATATTGACTTTTACCAGTAATTTCCTTAATGAATGGGGGGTGATATTCGCCATTAGCTTCACGTGTATCACAGCAGAAGCGGCACATGTGGAGCTTGTTTCTCTGGAAATAGTTTAGAAGTTCGCTTTATTAATCGTTCACCAAGTTCAAGGTTTCTCAAAGAGATTCTCCGGCGCTGGTCGTGTTTTTGAAAAAGTGTCAATGGTTTGCCCACTGGTTTTGATGATAAAGATCAAGGAGAACTGCAACTGTTTCTCAGTCACATTCCCTCAACATTGTTTGGATCCACTTTGTTGCAACATTCATTTTTAGTGTCAGAACTTTATGCTTTTTATAGTACGACAAACCGTTTAAACTCTATAAATTCCTTTTTACAACTGGAATGTGCCACCAAATACAAATGTGGGATAATCCCTCAAATGCAGCCGCTTTTACGAGTAAGCCTCCGCTTCATAGTTTTCAACATCTGATTTCGCCCTCAGTCTTTTCTCCCACTATGAACCATATCTAAATCCACCTTTTTGTTCTTTCCTCCTCCAGTTACACTCCCCTCTGTCTCCTGCGCTGGGGTTCGACAACCACATTCTGTCAGACAATGAGGTAAGTGTGTGTTGAACTCCCTTATTTCCCAAACTACCGGCTCCTCTCTCCCTCGGGACAGCAGCGCTTTACTCTGTCAGTGTAAAAATGAAGGGAAAGTCCCGTGTTTCTCCTCTGCTCCTCAGTCAGCAGTGTACTCTATGGTCCGCAAAACCAACGGTGACGTTGCCGAGAACGAGGAGGACAACGAGCACGACTACAGCAGCATCGCAGAGCTCAAAGGCCTCGTCCCGGCCTCATCCTCCAGTGACCTCTACGCCACCGTCCGAGACATCTACGGCCAGCCCGACGACGAGTCCCGGCAGGGGGGAGACCCCGCGTCGGAGCGCGCAGACCCCGGCTACGAAACCATCCGCATCCCGAAGGCCGGAAGCCCGGACGATGACCACTGGGACGGTCCGGGGGCGGAAGGGTCGGACGCCGCCAAGGCAGAGCACGACTACGAGTGCGTCGGGGAGTTGGGCCTGGGCCGGGAAACGTCCCGCCTCTAAATTCCTCCGCCCCCCTCCGTTGTCTTCACCTGTGGAGCTGTGGGAGACGCCTCCTCGCTGACTTCTCTGCAGTGCCGTGAACCTGACAGGAAGCTGGCCAGAGAACGGCTCGCCGCGGCATTCATCATCAACGTGTCCGCTTTACAGCGTGGGTACGGTTTGTCATATCTGGACTTTTAATTTATCAGGCGAATATCATTGGTACCGGTAGCCCTGACAGAAGCTGGACGGTAGTCCCTCAGTCAGTGGGCATTAATCATATGAATGATTGCACTTTGGATCATCATTAAAATCCTCTTTTCCCTTTTTGACAACAGTCCTGGAGACTTTTAACATCACTCGATAAAAGAAATCCAAATAATATAAATATCAAATCAGAACCAACTTGCAGCAAATGGTTAGCTGAGAACACAATCAGTGCCTGCGATATAAAAAAATAATTCTGTGCCATATAATGATGAAATTCATGCACTTACTGTACTTATGAAGGTGATTATTTTTATGCCTCTTCTGCAGCTGCTAGTGTGGTTCTAGCTTCTCTAGCTGACTCAGTGTCACGTCGTATTGAAGTGTCAGATGGTGCGTTTCCTGCTATTCGGCGCGAGGTTCAGCAGCACCGTCACAGAGGGCAGAAAGTCTCATCTGTGACCGAATAGGTAGTGGAGACTATTTGTTAGAAATAGAATGGAAAACCTTTTGTCTGCTACATACATTTCACTGCAATCGAGAGCTAAGCGGAGCAACGCGGTCTCACAATACATTTTGTAAGCATTTTTATACATTCTATGGACCATGGCAATTTATTTGGTGAATTTTGTATTTATTTAAGGATGTATGTTGTTGTGTAAATGTATCTTTGGGAGAGACAATTAAATAGGCTTCTCTGGAAGTTTCTAGACATTTTATTTAGAGAATAAAGTGTTTGTGTGTAAAGGACAGAGAAAAAGGTACACTTTCCAATGATTTTAACTTTTTTTTAAGAATTCATTGTTAAAAAAAAAAACATATGTGAAAATATTTTCTTTTTTTTCATTTTGCACAGGATTCTACACAAATGATGTGTTAAAATGTGATGATAGGACATAGCAAACAAACAAACAAGGCAAAGTGTACTTTGGGGGTTTCGTGGTCTTTCGAGCCGACTCTTGGTACCGTATGCAGCCCTCAGCTGGTGTCCCGGATGATTTTTAAGCACAAGGTTTAATATCACGGTACTGCATTTACATACAGCTTCACAAAAGCTTTGTCACAATCCCGCTATAGCCCTGCACAATTTAAATATGTTATGCTTTTTAACTTACTTGTAGCACTATGAGAAAACCATATCTGTGTTTGTAGCTTGTACTGACGACATGCCAACTACGGCTTGTATAGGAGCACTATTCTTAATCAACTGCTACTCGCTGGAAGGTTTATGTAAGCTTTTACTTATTTGTACAATGTCCAGAGTGGTATCATTTTAAAATGTATCTGCTAAGAGCACTGATGTCTGCATTGTTTTAAGGAAAACCGTCCAATGGTTTTAAAAGAAATCTTATTATTACTCAAAGTTGTCAAATAGCCTTTTGAACCCTGAGAAGTAGTAACCAATGAAATGTCAGAAATATGGTACAATGTTTTGGTACGTGTATTTTAAGACAAATGGAGTGTGGTACTTTGTTTTTTACTGTGTCAATACTGTTTGATGTTTGTTTTCAAATTCAACAGGGCCAATGCGTTTTGCTGTAAATATGTATTTCACTGCTACAGTATCTCTCCCCTTTGCAGAAAGATGTGCTTCAACCGTTCTAATCACATCCAATATCAGAGCATCTCCAGCCTTCGTCTATGTTTCATTAGACATGCGCCCAACAATGCTACAATCCAGTATTCAAGTATTTAATGAACAAAACCTATTAAAGAAATATGATGTTACACTGATGCTACCAAATGATGCGGCCGGGTAACATCTTTGGTTCCATTGTTTAGATATAATGGGTTTTAAAGAATGCTGTCAATGACCTTAGAGGAAATGATCCAATCAAATTAGCTGTTAATGCTGAATTTTTACCAAACACACAACAATTAGCTATTCTGTTGTCTGTCTTGGTCATAGAAACAGCCACACGTGGGAATGTGGGAGGTTCGGAGATGCTCCGCTGCTGCCTCTCCTTTAGCTTTGCTACTCCCACGATGGGACCATTTGTTCCCCGTGCAACCAGCAGACGACCGCATGGTGACACAGGCCTTTGATCACAGGACAAAGCCTGTTTTTGAAGCTATGGCCACATCTGTCACCAATCTTTCCCGTTTCCATTCTCTGCATGTAAATATTTTATCACATGAATTGTTCTATTAAAATATATATATAATATATTTTGTCTTTGTGTATTTCTTTTCACTGGGGATGATGTCATCTAGAAAGAGTGTATGCTTTGTATGATATTTTAAAAAAGACCACGCGGGTTGGCGTCATGTGGGTTGGCGTCAATGAGGCTTTTTGTGCCTGTGATAAGATACATCGGTGCATTCTCTCTGCAGGGCGATGATCGCGACCAGTGCTGAACTTGATTTATCACACCACTGCGTACTTTACAATCAAAAGGGAGATATTCATCAGCTACATCTTTCTTACTCAGAGAGCAACAACTCGAATGATATTGGGAGATATAGACCTTTTTTATTTAGTACAGAGTGTAACTTACATGAGCGTGTCTGTGAGTACTGTTACGGTAAAAATACATTTTTGACTGCTGGCTCATCAAATAACGGTATCACAGTGTTTCTGGCAAAGCTGGCCTCACCTTTATATATTTGTATTTGATACATATTTGCATACCTCAGCTATATTTAGTTTGAACATGATGCACTTTCCTTCATTGCATCATCAACTGAATGATCTACAGGGGCTGATTCAAATGTGGGTTGGCTATTACCATACATAACAATCAAGTAATAACAACATTTCAAAAATAAAATGATTCAAATAACCCTTTTGATTACATTCACAAAAACGAGACCGGTGTAGTTAATTACTTTAATTTTAGAAACAGATCATAGTAATTCAGAACTCCCATGGCACCTGGAAAGTAGGCGACATGCCTTTAACAACTAGGTTATGGCATAAAAACTTATTTTCCGTAGCCTCAATTCCCTTTTCTCTCCTTCTTCCCCTTCTGCCGTGCACCCTCCCTCCTCGTCCTCTCTCCATCCTTGCGTCATTGTTTTGAGTGTAGCATCCTCCCCGGCCCCGCGTTACCTTCTGTGGGAGGGAGAGGGCGGAGCGGGTGGAAGGCTTGGTGGAGGCGTGTGCTGCCCCGACCAATCACAGCCCGCCCTGGCCGCCGGACCGCACATGTTTACAGGCAGCATTCCGCCGGTAGAGGCTCCGCTCGGTCGGGGCAAAGCACGGACCGGAGCGCCCAGTAGCCGGACCGGAGTCACGCTAGGGTCGTGTTTTTCGACCGGTTTCGGCTCATGCGGCGGCACGACGACGCGCACGGAACCGGCGAAGCGAGACCATTCGACGCGTCTGCCGCCGCTATTCGACGCCCCGGTCGCCAGCTCGCGACTGAGCCGCGACGTCCTCCGGTCGTGTGCAAAAGTCACTTCGATTCCGGGACGAGGGCGCCGGTCCGCGTCTTCCCGCCGCCCTCCGAGCTCGCAGGGAGCAGTTGGGAAAACAAACATGTCGAGCGGATGAGGATTGGTAGCCGGTTATATGTGGAGGATTTTTTTTAGCGGCAAAACGAGTCGCGTCCGTGTTGTCGTTGTTTTTCTTCTCTCCTCTAATCCAAAGTGCTCCTTCGGGTTTTCGGTGCTCTCGTGTTCGGCTCATTGTAGGCCGCCGTTCGGAGCGTCCCCCCCCTGAGTATGTTGCCGCCTTCTAACCTTCTACCGGCGGAGCGCTGCGGGCTCGTGTTTTTCTCGACGTTGTTTTGCCGGTTCGAATTCGACACTTGAGGGTTTAAATACAGCGTGTTTGGGTTTTTTTTCTCGCGGCTCTCGAGTTTAGTGAGACACACTTTTTTTCGTTTTTTCTTTTTCTTTTTAAACAATGCACACGAGGCGTTTGGTGAAGCGGTCGATCCTCGGCAGCCGCGTTTACGCGCCGAGTCCGACGGGGGACGGCGCCCCGGTGACCGGAGTGGTGCAGGCTGTCAAGCAGGAGAACAGAGACGTGCACGCCGGCGCCCGCCACAGCGTCTACACCGTGCTCATGCAGGACGGGAGCCTGAAGGAGTTCTCCGAGGAGGAGATCGCCGCGGGGATCAACCACACCGCAGCCAAAGGACCGCTTAAGTCCAGCTTGAAGGTGCGTGTGGCCGCGCGTGCGCGCGCGTACAGAGAGCGTCCCGACCGGCAGGCAGCGCTTCGCTGCTTTTTTTTCTCTCGTTGTTTTGCAGCGTTTAACCACTTCTTGTATGGAGCGGATTTAACGGTTCCACCACCAACACCACCCTTATGCTGCTGCTGCTCCTCAATGTAACATCCAACCGGCGGGGACTAAAGCAGCTCACCGTAGACATATTGCACATGCGTTTGCATATTGCATCGACAGTCGTAACATTTGGCGACATGATGATATATATATATATATATATATATATATATATATATATATATATATTTAAGACAAAGGCCCCGGTAGCGCCCTGCGCAATGTTTATGTGGGCCGGTGGGAGGGTAGGGTGAGGAAAACAAACGCTCTGACTGCAGCCTTTCGGACTGGCGTGGAGACCCGGCGCGCGGCTCTTTTTTGCACATGGGTTCATGCTGTATATACATGTCGTGTCCAAATGCAGACAATTCAGTGGATCATTAATTGCACGAATGCACTGTAATGATGTATCATGTTTTGGACATTTTCATAGATGGATAATGCTGCAGCTTGTTGCCCTGTTGAATATTATATGGCGTCATGCGAAGTCATTCTGCACGACGAGGCTGTAATTGTTTAGCAACTCCTGAATATAGATGTGACGTTTGAGGCAGAATGGGACGTTTACGAGGATGTCCAAACGTGTAATCCTGATATGGGCCCAATTAGCGTGACCTAATTGGCTTCATCTCCAACCTCAGATGTAGATTGTGTGCATGCATTGTGCAAATCCATCTCTTGGATGAAAACATAGTTTTTTGGTTTACGGGAAGTGTCTCTGTGTGTGTGTGTGTGTGTGTGTGTGTGTGTGTGTGTGTGTGTGTGTGTGTGTTGTCCTTTTCACAGTGAGGGAGTGACGGAGGAATGCATGTGACCAAATAACGGCTTGTTTACTCCTTCGATGGCTCGTCTGCTGATTTCAAATCTATTTTCTGTAGTTTTGTGGCCATATTTGCGCTGACGTGTGCTTTGCTTTACATTTCTATTGTCGAAGTAACTTACTGGCTTTTCTCTTAAGTCTTATTTTAGCAACCAAAACAGAAATGTTGGGCTGCTGTTTGTCACCACACAAACCGCTGGACCGCTCACATTTTACCTTTACCACATGAATTACCTTTATGTAAATTCAAGAGAGGGAGGGAGTTCATCTCCTCAGAAAAGCTTAAGTTGTAAATAAATCTTTAAAAAAACCGGCGTGTAGAACCTTAGAAAAGAGACGGCCCTGCGTGGAGAACTGTGGTGGGACATGCGTTTCAAACTTAGGACCATTGTTTTATTTTTCACTCGGTCAAGTCGCTTCCAGCACTCAAGCGCCGTTGGTGTTGAAAACCCACCCCATAAATTGGGGAGGAGGGGTGACTTGGTCCACATGTCTTTGTGTGTGTGTGTGTGTGTGTGTGTGTGTGTGTGGATACACGTGGCTCTGGCTTGTGTTTCCCCCCTGCAGGGATGTGCTTGCTCCCACATGTGTATTTGTTTGTGGAAGAAGTTAAGAGCTAACGGGGGGGGGGGGGGGGGTGTTGTTTGTGAGGGCACGCCGCCCCGTTTGAGCAGCAGCTGTATACAATAAAGCGGGCTACCCACACGATGGCAACGGTTGTTGTGCTGCAAAGAATCTGCATGCATGGCACATTGCCAAGTGCGGCAAAACAAATGCCCAATGTTCTGAAAGGGTGGGGGTGAGTGTGGGGGGGCAGAATGCCACTTGTTGGTCTGTGCGAGTGTGCGTTGAGCGGGCAGATCCCTCGCCGCCAGCAAGGAGGCGTTGACTTGTTTTGGTTTTGCCGCTTCTTTTGTTGTCCTTCGTTTGCCGTTTGCGGGCCGACGTGGGAGTCAATGAAGCAAGCCTGTTGACGGGAGCTGAGTGAGTCTTTGTTCTGAGGGGGGGGTGGGTGGGGGGGCAGGAGGGGTCCAGGCAGGCGTCGGCTGTCCTTGTTGGTCGACTGAGCAGCAGCATGAAGCAAGGCGACCTGGACGAGATGAACCGATGAAACGGTCACACATTTAGTCCCATGGTCCTTCAAAAGTATTTGTGTCTCTCATTGGGGGAAAAAACGACTTCAACACGGCGCCAGACACTGCGGTTCACTTCCTCTATTCCCCTAAACCATTTGGTATCAAATGAAGATATCTATTTGTGATTTGCTGTTGCAGTTTCAACACAATTGATCTGTATCAAGTGATCACGTGGCCTGTAGTTAGTTTCATACGGTATAAAGGTTCCTTGAGTTCCTTTTAGAATATATTCTGTTATACGCTTTAGATAAATGTTACAGTAGTAAAATACATGATATGGTTCATTCGTATGTAATAACCTTGTTGTACATGCGTTTAATGTACTTCGGGGGATCCATGACACCAATTGTAAACAGCTGTCAGCAAGTTTACAATAGATGACAACAGCTGCCATGTAAGTAAAAAAAAAGAATGAGTCACATGTTATGTAAAAAGGGTAAATCTAATATTTCAGCTGCAGTGTAACGTCCTGACTCGATGCATTAGATGTGCCAATACAACAAAATACTTCCAAGCAACAAAGAATGTGTGCAAAGAGACACATTCGGTCCACGGGATTCACTGTACTGTGTCAGCGCTCCTCATCATGACCTTTGACCCATTAAGGCTCAAGATGCTTTTTAGCGCTTGTCAAACGGCCCAAAGCAAGTCGGTTATGAGTTTCTGTGTGAGTGGGAGCAATGAGCGATAAAGGGTGGAGGAATGAGGGACACTGGCTATTTATTAGATACACACACACACACACGCATGCACCAGCTTTGACATGTGCAGCTCACATTTCACAACCGATTTGTTATGCGTCACAATATCCTGGCCCTGTGAAAGGCCATCATTCATGCGCTCGGCGAAAGGATAAAATTGCTGTTGTTTTTTCCCCGCGCAGTCCCCTCGTTGCACACAAACCCCTGATCTTCCCGAGCCGCTGTGTAATTCATCTTGTTGTTCTAACTCAAGTCTGTGATTTCACAGAGGGGGTTTCACACCGCGGAGCGTTTGCACGACCAGCCTCTATCATGAGCGATACTCATTTCATTAATTCCAAATACATTGTTCTTGTGGTGTGGTGTGTGTGTGTGTGTGTGTGTGTGTGTGATTGACGACGGTGCCGTTGTTCTTTCCACTGTCAGCCCTAATTGTGTTGCGGTGCTTTGAGATAAGGGTCTAGATTAGAGGGGACCACTAGGTCGATCGCGGAGGCGCTGCCGTTGTTTTTAAAACGTCACACATGCGCAATCCTTGCTTACCAGCGGGCGTGTTAAGTTTAATTCAAAAGCAACCCTGGCTGGTCATCAATCCGTGCGAGTCACCTGAGTAAGGTGACGACAGAGAACGCGTAGAGCGCTTGTGACGGTTCCTCCTCCTGACAGGTGTGAGGCTCGTGTGTTTTTTTGTTGTTGTATCGGCTTGTTTTGTGCTGCCGGTATGCAGCGCTGTTGTTCCGTTTGGTTACCGCTACTACTCGTTCGCCCGACTACTACACCCCTCCTCCGCCCCACCCCACCCCCACGTATATCACCAAAATAGCGCTGTCATGCTGCCAACAGTAACTTGTGGTTTTCAGTTTGAAACCCCAAAACTATGCCAGGAAGTAAAGAAAACATCCTTGACCACTAAGCAGTTTTTTGACCCAATTTGTTTTTTGAAAAGCCCCCAGAGTTCTATAACCATGTTGTACTACCTCATTAGTGGGTCATTTTAACGGGCTGCAGCCTTTACAAACGAACGCTTGTTTCTGTGCTCTCCTCATCACCCACAACACCCCCGTGTATTCCTGCATCAGCAGTTGGTTACCCACCTGTCAACATGGTTCTCCACCCAAGCACTGACTCCATCTTCTGTGCACCCCTCTCCAGCAGAGCTCCTGCAACGGAGCCCCAGAGAGCCACATGGTGGACGGCTTCTCCCTCAGCCCGGAGGCCTCCGACACCCGGTCGGTGTCCCTGCTGGAGCAGAAACGCAAAGTGGTCTCCTCCAGCATCGACGTCCCCCATGCAAGGTAGGTCTGTGCGTGCGCGCGTGCGTGCGCGCGTGCGTGCGTGCGTGCGTGTGCGCGCCCGCGTGCATACCAGCATGCCAGTGCTTTGACCGCGCCAGTGTGATTCCTGTATTAACGAGGTTTGGGTTGAGTTCCCACATGCAAATCCCATATACATACATAGTTAATACGGTCTGACATCTTTATCAGACCACATAATATATGCCGCCATACATGTTCCCATTCACATCAGTCTGGTCTGCATGTTGGAATGATTGACTTGGTTATTCTAAGATGTCATTCCTACACTGAATATTGAAGGCGTGTGCTAAATGCCGTTTCTGGAAGAATCCCATGAGATTCCTTTTACTTTAACTTAATGGTGCATTTTGTTTTTAGAATGGTACGCCTCCAGTGGGTTGTCCAAATGGTCAAATTGGTGCACAAACAACTCCAACTCGCCAATCTTTCCTTTTCCGTCACATACTGTGGCTTGATAGCCAGATTAGACATAAGTGGAAAGAAATACACATGTAAGTGGTGTGAGAGAAGCTTTCATGCAACACAATACAAACTAAAACACCACACACACACACACACACACACACACTACTAGTACTGTTTTTAAACGGTCAGCACAATCCACCATTGAAGCTACTCCCCAACAGGACAATTAAACATTAATAGGCAGCAGTGAAGAGCCATCTAATAAAGAAACAACGCTTAGGCTATTAAGTTTGAAACACTCGTACCTTGTGAAGCACCGCGACGCTATCGAACGTCACTCCCCACCACTTACACTCGCCCTGCCGCGGAAGTCCAATCGATCAACTTGCTGGAAAGTACAGTTAAAGTCGCCCATCTGGGCAGCTTTATCACGGCGCCCCGAGCCCCGCCGTGAATTAAATAGTTAGTTGCTTTTGAATCATTGATTTTGTTCTCTCTCGTCGCCCATTACGATGAGGATTCCCCTTTTAAAACTGAATCCATCACATGGATCAGACATAAGTATTACAGCGGTCCCGTCCTAATTAGCTGCTTGCATAGGGATTCCCATCACAGTGATATATTTATATGGTTGTTGCCGAATGGCTTATTGATCATCTCACTTCCCTTGCACGAGTTGAATGATCACTTTGTTTCCAGTTTATTTAGTGTGTATGTTGTGTTTTTATTTTGAGTAAAAACAACGAGAGATGAAGGTTGAATTTTTTCTCTACATTGAAATATCTCAAATATATGATGAGAAATATCCGAAGCCTTTCGTAACATGGAATGGGGGGGGGGGGGGGGGGCTGGTACTGCCTGGTAAGGAGGCGCGAAAGCAGGTATGTGAAGGCTGTGTGGAGCAAAGAGGCGCATGGAACGCTTTATAAATATGCTCCATAATCTAGTTTCTGTAACTATTATATGTTTAAAAGTGCACCCTGTTTGTCCCTTAGTGTCGTCTTGGCTCTTTACTGTCTCAATGAAGAGAGACATTTCCAGCCAAGAGCTCGGCCTTGACACCAAATGATTTTGTGTGAAGAGACGAGGGAACGGGTGCGGGGGGGTTAAAGGGTGAAGTAAATGTATTAGCATGTAGAGGAGGCTACAGGAGATGGAGAGCGAGCCGACTGAGCACGTGTGCTGCTGTGAGCGCGAGAACGCCTGAGGAATTTCCTTCTTTTTTTCCAGATCTAACTCTCCAGAGAAGTTGGGACCTTGAGGTCGTTAATTGCACTCGGGAAAATCACTAGCAGAGAGGGAATTTTTCAAAGAAAATGTCTGGCTGCTGGATGGCTCTCCAGGTCCCTCACCGGGAGCCACCGAAGTACCTCAAAGCCTCGTCTGCTCGGTTGGTCCGGCTCTCATTACTTTATCGAGAAGGCTCCTTCGTCTTATTTGTTTACAGCACATTTACTTCACTCTCATTTTCTCGGAGATTTCCACAAAAATCAATGCGTGTCGCTCCACGACCGATCTATTTCTAGCGTGGCCCCCAACTCCCAAATGTCTAAGGAAATGGATTCCTTTTGTGAATTGTTTTTGCCTTGAAACGAAGAGGCAGGCACCTGCCGGCCGTGGCGGATGTGTGATTGGTTTACGCCATGTTTCTTACCTGATTCTGGCTTTACAGACAGACTCGGTCTGTGGTTCCAGCCGGGCGCTGGGCCTTCTCCGTCCTCCGCTGACGGCTCACGTTTTGGAAAACGGTCCATTTTAACGAGCGATGGCGGGGCACGCCGGTGGACACTAAAGGCTTGGCTTTTTGACAGATAGCGTTCGAGGGACTAATTGCTAGCAGGGGAAGTGAAGTCCAACCTTATTTGAGGGGGGCAGCCAGAGATTTGAGCGCCCATTAACGACCATTAACTTCTAAACCCCCCAAACTGTTTGTTGTTGTTGTTTATTGTTGTTCAGTGTTTTTGCCCGCTTCCGTGCGCTCAGTCATCAACCGAGCCTCATCAAATGGTCTTCAGTCTTCGTCCTCGTGTTCTCCCTTTACTCGCGGTTCGGTTTTCTATTTGTTGTTGTTTCTTTCATTTGACACTTTTCGTAACGTCACTCCCTTTGAGAATGAGGTGGAGGAGGGGAGGGAGGGGAGGGGGCGCGTGCACGAGAGCAATGCGAGAGGGCGGGACTGAGGGGGAGGTGGGGGAGGGGGGGGCAAGAGGGACGCCCAGCGTCGGCCAAAGTAAACAGTTCTCCCCGTTCGGATGCCGGTGGAGTTCAGAAACCGCGCGATTACCATCTGAAAAGACGTCTCTCGTGGTGTCTCGCTCTCCTCCCCCCCCTTCCCCCGATGCACCGTCTCACTCTCCCGGTCTCGTTGTGCCGTTATCTGATTGAAGCCTTTCCTGCAACGATTTACTCGAGCAAACGACGGCGGCTCGGGCAAATATCTGATCAACCTGACTAACACACAGTTAAAAATAGCAAACACAATTGTGCTTGCGTTTAAATATAAAGAGGACTCTGCTCGACATGCGTAATAAAGGCTCCTTGCTGTCGATCCATGATAATAGGCTGTGGGATTTCTCATAATGGGAACTTCACCAGGGAGTAATAGAAAGAAACAAGCGGTTTTAACAATTGGAAACACTAAATCAGTGGCCGCTGTGCGTGTGCTTCTGTGTAATATGACTTTTGTCCTTGTTAAAGTGAGCAAAACTTAATTGGTGCCCAGAAAAAACTTTTTTATATCCATGAATAACTCTACAAAACATTTTGCGAAGTAATAAATAAAGTCAACAGTCTTAAACATCTATGAAGGAGGCCAGTGAAGATGGAGGCGAGGTTTATATTGACGTACAGATCGAGCCGGTGTGAGCGCGGCGCTCAATGGCGGCTTCGTTATCTCGGGAAAATCCCGCCGTTGTTCTTAATCTCGGTCTTTAAATAAGCCACCGGGGACCAACCGGGCGTGCTGAGCCAGGCTCGTGTGATCCTAAAATGTCTGCGATCATATCTTGGCACCGTTAGTGTTTTTAAAAGGGATCAACTAAATCTTGAAGTCACTCTTGGGGGGTGCCGGGTGACCGGCGCGAACATGCTGGAATTAGAGCGATATGATCTTAGTCAGCGGTGCACGTCGTGTGCGCCGTTATGATATCTGAGCTTTTCTCTGAACTGCGTTTCAGTGTGATATGACGGAGAATAATGGGACAAAAGACGCAGAGACAAAGACCAGATAAGAAAATAGCACCTTGTGCGCCGCAGAGTGTCATTGCCTTTCTTTTCTAGCCACATTTTCCCGAGGCTCATTACACCGTGGTCTGAGTGAATTATTGAGATACATCAGCGTTCATAGAATTTTTCTATCTCTACATGGATTGCGCCATTTAACTGGATTCACAGGAGTTCGCTTTGTTCAAGTCTGGAAAACCTCCTCAGTTGATGGCGCTGAACGCCTGATCTCAGCTGCAACAGTCGCGTCGTCATGGATCCGGTTTGGATCGATTGCACGTCGATCGATCCGAGACAAAGCGCTTGCTCTTGGCTCGTTCGACAAGTTCCGGCTCCTGAGCAAACGACCACCTGCGACGCCGCATGAGTGCAATTGCTAGTTTACATCTAAACGCAAATGAACTCTTCATGAACTCTTTTTTTCGGTGCTCGTGGGTCTAGGAATGCTTAAAGGTGGTCGGCCTGAATCCACTGGCAACCTTTGCCAAAGCGCTGGGCGGCGGCCTGCTGGTGTAAGCAGCGATCCAGGATGTAAATTCACTTGAACTCGGTAGACTTCAAGGATACTTTGTTTTTTACTGCACATCTCGTTATTGAGAATAAAAACATTGCACCATTTGGCATCTACGGTTTGTTTCTGCAGGCCGTTTAAATTAAGTCAGTTTATCAATGGGACGCATCGGGCACCCCAGCAATGCAGTCTTGATTACTGCGACGCTAGCAATGGAATTGACCCATTCGGTGTCACATTGAAGCCACGTCTATTTGAGTGATTGATGTCGTCCACGCAGAAAATGTCCCCAATGCGCTAACATCACCCGTCGATGTTGTGCCTGCAGGGTGTTTTGTGTTTGCTACCTGCTTTCTACGACGCACAGTGAACTGACGGCGGGTTCCTCTCTGCTGCTTCAGACTAATCCATAGTCGCCGGCTCAAATGGGCCGATGGCACAGAGCGCTACAGGAAACGGAAAACAGCTCTTATTGATTCTACCGACTGACGTGCGTTATGCTCCGCGGTATTAATGAGGTATTTATTTACCAATTAATGGTGGAGTCCTCGTGTCGCTGTGTGTCACACTTGGGGTCCAAACAGAAGCACCGACAAATTAGGTGAGCTGAGCTTCCACAAAGTGGGACCTTTTCTGCAGATTGTGTCAAGAGGAGTTAAATTTGCCAGGTGCCTCTAACTATGAATGAGTGAGCACGTTGATCTTAGAAGGAACGACGACACAACCTGATTTTTCTGTGAAATTGCAAAAAATAAGTAAAATACTTTAGTTGTTATCTGTATCTTAATATGACTGGTTGTAAAATGTTAAATGCAGGATAAGCACTGCTTCTCTTGACTTA